GACCAACACCTCTCTGGTGATGAAGGGTCATATTGTAGTTAATACAGGTCTTCATGCGTTTATCACTGCTAAGACTGAAAGAGACTGTTCTGTTCATCTCTTTGGGTTCTTGTGTGAGGTAGATTGATTGCATCATACCAACAAACATTTGCTTGGATCACAACTTCTTTTAGTAATGTCACAGAAATGGTTAGAATAAGATACTGAAAGTTAGATCCTAAATCTAGGATCATTATAGATGATGGAAATTAATGTCAGGCAAACAAGACTGAAATGACAAGCAAGAATAACTGTGTGATGGGATGTTGACATCTGCTCTAGCCTCAGCTGTCATTGTGAACCACAGATTGTCAGACTGCTCTAAGGATGTCAGGTTCCTTCAGACCAGACTTAAACTGGGCATCTTTTGTGAAGTTTGGCTCTTGACACAGGCTCACAGGTAGAAAAGAATGAGATGAGCCTGAGAGAGAGAACACCTGGGGCTGATCATGTGGTATTATGGACATCACAATGGAACCCTTTATCTTGAAATAATCAGCCACGGACTATACTACATGAGTAACAGTTTGAAAGCTTCCATCTGCCTCTGTTTAGTGAAAGATGAAAGTTTCTGCAGACAGCCGTTTCAGTGCTGACAGGGTGTGTCAATATTTTTGGAGTATTTCCACTGCATACAGGAAAAGCAGTACTCTTAGTTTGCATATAACAGGCCCCAAGCCAGCAGCCCGACCAAACTCTTAGCCAAAGCTTTGAGTTCAGGATCTTCCTATTTTCACCACTCCATTCAAGCTGGACTTCTTCTTCTCTTGACTCTGTGTAAGGCAAAAGTGAAGAGGAAGGGATATGTAGCTTTCATCAGCCAAATGGCTGAAACTTTATGTGGAAACCAGCAGTACCTTTCACAGTGCAGGTGCAACTCTTTCTGCCAGGGCTCACTTCACTTCTTCCTCACTCCAGCCACTGCCCACAATTCACCCAGCCTGCAAAGTTATGCTAAAGGAAAAGAGAATGTGCCATTGGGAAACCCTCAACTACCATCCAGGGTACCCCCAGATGGAGCCCAACTCTTAGTCTTGCAGGCTAGAGAACAAACCCAGGAGAGCTCCCAAGGACAAGGTTAGCCTTATCCAAAGCTTCCCCTCCCTCCACATAGTACCCATCTGGTGTTCCAGTCAAGATCACATTTGCTTTTCTTCTTACAAACTGGGCCTCACCAAAAGCCTGTAATTGTGAGAAATTTGTAGCTATGAATTTGCAATACTCTAGTTACGTTTTATGGTGAGTGTCTCATGTGGTGGTGCGGGGTGTCTGACTCTCAGAGGGAAGTATCCCATGAAAATGCTGTTTAGCATTTTATCATATTTTAGCATTTCTTACCTAAGCTTCATACCAGAGGAGATGGTGCAAATTAGCAGATAGGCTACAAATCCACACTGGCTTATTCCACACTGACATTTCTGAGAAGAACAAGCTAAATGTATTTGTATTCTTCATTCTAGTCGATCTAATAACATTCTCCTACCTTTTTTTTTTTTTTTAAACAAGCCTCAGGAATGAATGTTTATTGGCTCATCACTAGGTTGAAGAATTGGAACTGGGAACAGCTACATAGTGTCTCTTGAGGTGTTGCCTTCAGATGTGTGGGAGTCTGTCACCTTTACCTGGAAATGTAAGCATGATACTTACATTCCCTGAGAGGAAACTGTTCAGTGTATTACAAAGAATAGACGAGTAAAAGAGAGAGCAAGAAACAAAAGCATATGCATATGACTACAGCACTTTGTGGTTTTTACAGTGGAAACAATACCACAGAGATAGCAGTGGCTGCAAAGAAACCCCATCGCTATGGCTGCGCTCAGTCTTCTGCTCTACTGTGTGTCACAAGATGGAGAAGTCTAGAATTGCAGTGGGCTAAACAGAGGCCAAGCATCCGTAGCCATGGGCTGACAGGCCTAACTGAAGACAGGTCCAGCACCACCATACTGAGAGACATCTCCTTTTTCTGTTGGTGCCCTGGTTTTCTAGCTGGCTTGTATTTAGCCCAGCGGCATTACTTCCTGTGTAACGCATAGGAGCGAGGTGCCTGCACTGAGCAGAAGAGTGTGAGGGCATGCTTATCTGCAGGCCTGGCAAACCCTGTCTTGCCCTGCCCACCACAACTTGGGCTGGTAGTTGGGCTGTGGCAGCATACAGCTGCAAGGAATAGCTTTCATTGTGCCTGTCCCACTCCCTGGGGGGCATCACTGGTTGGTGCAAGGGGCTGCTCTGCCAGTGCTCCCTGTTGTAGCTGTTTTCAGGACATGCATCCCACACCTCTGGGCTGAAGGTAAATACTGGCTTCTAGAGCTGCTCTGTGGCAGTAGCCCAAAGCTGCTGTGCTTTCCAGAGCTACTCATTTGCCTCTACACGCTCTCTTCTTAATGCCTTCCCTTGGGGGAAAATAGAGACATAAGTGCAGGGGCTTCCAGTGCTTGCCTCCCAGTATCATCTAGAAAATCCCTTCCTTCTCCTAAAATGAGGATTGAAACCCAGTCGGGACTGCAGCGTGGCATTGTCTTGCTCCTCGAGAGAGGGAGGGTAAAGCTCCAAGGATATTGCCATTTCCCCACTTGTTATCTGGCACAAAGGCTGAGGTTAGAGACATGGGATGCTTTCTCATTTTCCACCTGGGTCTGATGGTACTGGAGATTTCTGGCACCGGTTAGAAAAGGGGCTGCCCGGTGGGATGGACCATTCACATGCCAGGATCTCATGGGGAATCCTTGCGATAGGTGGGTTGTGGGCCCCTTGGCTGGCTTGGCTGTGCTGTTTTTATGCAAAATCTCTAAGCAAGCTGGTTTTGTGCACACGTACCCAAATACTCGGAGATACCAAGGCCTGATGTCACTTCTGTGATCTACAGGGGACATCAGCTATTGAGCCCTTACCGCCTCTCTTGAGTGCCTGATCATTGCTCACAGCAAACTCATTTTTGAACAGATCTTTTATATCCTCTAGGAGTGATTTCTCTCTCCTGCCCCACCTGTTACTCTAACAGCAAAAAGGATGCCACACTTGATGTGTTATAACTGGTCTGCTGGAGCATAGGGGCTTCCAGTCTGAGTAATTTTAGCTGTTAATTCACAGGAATGTGGGCATCTCACATGATGAACTTGATTAAATGGAAGTAGCGGCCTTCACTATGAATACAGGGCATCCTTTTAAGCCTTGTTCTCCTGCTGTGGAGCTTTACCACTCTTCTTTCTCTTGCTTTCACATACACATGCTTCTTTCCATTTGTATTTTGTTTGTACCAATTCCAGTTTCTGCCTGCAGTTCCACAGGGGGCAGTATCCAGTGTGCAGGATGGCTCTGAGCAGCCTCTGTGTGTGCACAGAGCAGAAGGATGGTCCCCGCCCCAGTGTATTTGCAGTCTGAGTGTGCCGACAAACAGGTAAAGGTGCAGGCGTACACTTGAAGCAGACAGTAGCTTTGAGTGATGTTGCCTTGAGAAAGAAGCACAACAAGGTTGAGCAGTGTGTGGACAGTTGTTTCAGCATACCCAGGGCCTCCCTCTGCTCTGCTTTATGGACCCAGGAAAAAAACAAAACCAAAGCACATGTGCCCAAGCATGCAGACCTTTCATGTCCCTGCTAGCATGGCCAGGGAGAGAGGTCCCCACAGACCCTTGGGGCAAACATTGCCTACACAGTCTGCTTGGCTAGGGTGATGCCTGGGCACAGCAGCCCCTGCCCTCAGCTTGTTTTTCTCCACAGACAGTAGAGGTCAGGCACAGAAACATCATCTTACTAGTGTTGCTTCCTCTATCCTTTTGCATGTGCCTCCCTTTTGCTTTCTTTGTAAGGAAACAGTAGCAAAAAGGAGGAAGAAAAGCTAGGTTTTCCTGCGATGTGCAGAGGCAGCAATACTGTGACCTTTGTGCATTTTACTTTAGGTAACTTCTGTGCAAAAAGGGGCAGTTTTTACCAGCTTTAGTACCAGCTAAAAATGATGAAGCTGGAGAAGGGGAGATGTCTTGCAAGATCTTCCCATAACTTCAAGGAAGTCCAATCACATAAATGAACAAGATTTATCTGTTGTACACCTCTTGTGCCATAGCTTCTATCTTCTTTCTTGGCCTACATCTGCGATAGAAAGATGGAAGATTTCAGTGGCTGCTGTAACAGAGGGATTGTGCTGGGGATGATACAATTCAAATTCCTCACCAGCCCATCTGTTTCATATCAGAAACAGGAATAAAGATTCCATTAGCTTCTCACATGTTTTTGGACATAACTCCCATGCTTCTTCCCAGCTTCCCTCACCGTCTTTCCCACATCAACCAGCTGCAGGGCTGGTTTCTGGCTAGTCCCAAGGCAGTGTTTTAATCTTCTTCCACACGCATCCCTTTTTTGCAACTTGTTCAAATGGCTGGCCGTGCCTGCAGGACACCTTTGTGTGGCACTGGCCAGCCCCTCATAGATCAGACCTTGATGCAAAGATGATCTCAACAGTTTCTAAGGGATATGTGTCTCCTTTCTAGATGTTGTCCAACAGCCATCGGCTACCTGCTACTCGCTGGGGGTCCCAGGCTTCCTGTTCCCTTGCTGCTGCTGAGGCTATGGGGGAGCAGAAGGAACATCACCCCTCCCTCTCAAAAACTGCACCTATCCCACTAGGATCGTGCACATGGATGCTGGAGTTCAGCTCTTTAGGTGAACATTGAAGAGGATGAGGACTCCAGCTGGCCCTTCAGCTGGGAAGGAAAACCTTGGAGTGATTCCTGCATTTTAATGTTTGTTTTTCCTGTCATGATGAAACACAACACTGAGAAGTATTTCTGCCCATGGTTTCTGTGCCTGTGCTAGAAATGAGAAGTTCTAGGCTGAGGGCTGGAGGAGGGCACGAAGGCTGTACCGACACAGGCACGTCCCATGACAGCTTGCTCACAGCAGAAAACCCTTTCATCTGCTAGGAGTTATCATTAGACAAGGAGACACTGGATTTTTTTTAGTCTGAAAATGAACTTTACAAGGATCTTCCTGGTCAAGTGCTTGCTGCTTTTATCTCCCAGTGTAAAATGTGAGTTTTTCTTACCACTTTTTTCTCTTTTGGGCTAGCATTTCTAAAATTGCATTTTAAACAATTTACAACTTTGTGGGATGTTATTGATAAGAAACTAGTTCCACTTTCCCCAATGGGTGAAGAGCTTTGGGTTATTGCTATTATTATTTGATTTAATTTTCAGCTGCAGGGACGGCAGGGCCTGAGTTTCCTATTCCAGTTATAATAAGCTGTAAACAGTTTTGGTTTTAAGTTAATGAGCCCTAATTTGACACATGTATAATGAGAAATGTCAGCATACAGTTTTCTCTGCCCTTGGGGTAGCTTGTACTACATTAGAGATCCAGTTCATGGTGCATTATTGCATGTAATTTCCTTTTCTAATCAAAGATGAGCAGATCTTTTGAAAGGGTAAATTATATTCTTCCATAAATATTAACAGAAAAAGTGATACATCTCAGTGCCTTCAGTGGAGCTGAAGAAGTCTAAGAAGTGAAAACATCAAACAAATACATACATGTTTTATACTTTTTGTATTATTGCTCTCATAATTTTAAAAAATATAAAAACTTAATTAAGGTGTTAACTCATTGATTAGAGAAGGTTATAAGAGACAGAGACAATAAAATCATGCATAGATTTTTTTTCTCTATTCATTCTACAGATTGTATGTATGTCTGTTTGTATGTTTAATGTTCTTCTTTTCCTTCAGAACAAAATTAACGATAATAAGGATATATTTTTTCTGTGTCCTTTGTATATAAAGCATTTTCCCCAGAAGAAATGAAGCTTATTCCCTTGAATGGAAAACTTGTTTCAAAAACTTTCCTGTTTCTCTAAAGTTACTATAGGACCTTTTCAGTTAACTCTTTCTTGTGACTGTAGTGAACTCTACACTGCCCATTCAGATCTTTCTGCCTCTTGGAGCACATTTCAGTTGGCATTAGCAGAAATGTTGTTTCATTTGCTAAACACATTTTAGTATCATATGTGGGACACTCATTTTGCCATTGCAAGACGATGAAAATCACATAACTATCCAGAGATGTGTGTAGGTGGTCTGTCCATAGAGATGCCATTAAATTATCCTTGAAAACATAGATTATTTTTTCTCTTTACTTCCAGAGAGAAAAAATAATTATTCTCTGTCATGCAAAGAAAATATTCTATTACTAGCTCTAAGTTCCTGTGCATGGCTGAGCAGAAATAAGTATCAGAATTCAAACATTTGGGTGTAGTCTGTAGCATGGAGGATAGCTGCTTCCAAGACTGGTTTATAGCTTAATTTCAAAATATTTAATTGGATATGCCAAGTACCTTGTAAGAGATGCAGTAGTGAAATAAAAGTCTCTCCTTTAACTGGGGATGAATTGCCGGAAGCACTACATTATTAATTTTTTTGTTGTAGAAGCACACTGTTTTCATTCTTTGGTTATCTCTAATATTGCTAGTTTAATGAAATAGCAAAGAGATTTCTGTTTCCCCTCTGTCATATACTTTATCACTGTCCTAGATACCAGGAATGAAAGACTATAATAAAAATACGCATAAACATAGTTTTTCTCTCTGTGAGGAAAAAGTGCTTTTAATACGAAAAATAAGAGAAGAATCAGCTCTATCTGGTGATGTGAAGAGAAATCCCTCCTGCCAGTCTGCTTTATCGTGTAATTTGAAGAACAATAAATGTAAGAAAATTACGAATTTAATAAGCCAAGGCTCTGAGTGCACATTTTGTTGTCAGGTAGGATAAGCTCACTGACACTTGTGAACACTTTTCTACCTCCTCCTCACTTGTAGTAATGTGATTGTTGTTTAGCAACCTTGGTTTTTCTGAATATTCCCTTGAGCAGCCAAATGCTAAGCGCTGCCCAGTCCTGGTAGCACCTTTGGGAAGTACCTTTTCTGGAGAGGGAACCTGTCATCAGAGGAAATCTACAAAGAGAAAAGATTATTTTTTTTTTGGTCTTTGCTTATCTCTGAATGTCTTGGTTGCCGAATCAGTTCACAGGATACAGTTAGCTGTTTGTTTCTCCCTGCCCTGCTTGCCCCACTGTGACCCTGTGCTAGAAAAATCAAGTGGATATACTTCAGCAAGGCAGGGTGCCTGGGATGGGTGAGGAGCGGGCACTGCCTCTAGTTCAGTGTCTCACACTCACTCACTGCTTGATACGAGGCACTCTTATTATGATGATGATTATTATTATTGCCATCAGTGTTATTGCTGAACTGATCCTACTGTCCAGGGCCATTGCAACTTTGTGTTCTCACTGCCCACAGTAATGTTCCCTGTGAGGGGTGCTCTAAGTACCAGCCTGTGCCACATGCAAAACACAATGAAGTGACCTTGTTTTCAGGAAGGGTTAAGTTCATGGGCAGCCATGATTCTTGGCGTCCAAAATCACTGCAAATAAGCCAGACAGAGTTTAAAGCCAGCTTTTGAAAGCTGGTCTCAGCTTCCTTGTCTTTCAGACTTAGATTAGGCACTGACACTTACCTAATGAACAATCAGGAGGCGCTTTGGAGCATGGGAAGAAGACAGCATCAGTAATGCAAAGAGGCTTGAGCAACTCCAGGGAAGGGGGGGAGGGTAGCACCCTTTTGGGTTACCACTGTGGCTGCCAAGCATGGCAGGGGGGCTGCTGGTGACACGCTGACAGGTTGGTTGTGCTTCCCTTTGCAGGCTCTGTCACCAAATGGATTTACAAGACTGTGAATGAGTCGGCTCTTCTCAGCATTGCTGCTGGTGGGGACATATATGATGCAACGTGGCAGAGAGACAGAAAAAGGTTGCTTCAGATAAAAGATAAGAAAGTTAAGTACTATGTGAACAAGGACCAGTGCAGGTGTAAGATATTCCTAAATGGGACTCTACAAATAGAGCAGGTAGTGAAAGAGGACAGTGGAAAGTACACAGTAGTAGTTTATCAAGAGGATGGAAAATTGAAGGCAGAAGAAGATACAATGTTCATCGTTCAGGGTGAGTTTTCACTCTTCCCATGTCATTCCCAGCATAGCTGAATAAGAGTTGCTATTCCCACTCTCTCCTACAGCCTTTTCTACTCATTGCCTCCCTTTCTGTTTTGGGGAGACTTCTGTGAGATATAGGTCTTTCCTCCCACCACTGAGAGCAGCCTGCTGTTCTCCTTCCTCTTGCTTCTATTGATGCTCTCTGTTTCGCTGCTTCTTTCTGGCTTCCCCCTCTACCAACCACCAAGTTTCTACATGTGCCCCTCAAAAAGGCTGTGAGCATGCCTGTGTGGGCAGCAGGGTGAGTGCAGACAGCCATACTGCAGCACCACATGTGGTGCCAGGACCCCTCAGTCCCTGAGCCAGGGCAGCATCACACAAGCAGGGCTGTGCTCCCAGCAGCAACCCACGTGAGGTATGCCTGTGGCATATGCCTGTGATGTGCTGGGCACTTCTGGTGTTATTTCATGGGCAGTGTGCTATGACTTTTGGTCTCTAGCTACTGCTCCAGCAAGGTGAGCACCTTGTGTTGCAGCTGCCATCATCCTGAGGAGAGCTCAGGAGCCCAGGTAGCACTAAATGCCTGTATTTAAGCAATGTGGTCCTATTCCATTTTTGTCTTAACATAAAAAAATCACCAGCTCTCACCTTCCCTGAGATATACGATTGGATTTGCATTTGTAGAGGAAGAAGACTCCTGCACCCTATTCCTGCACAGCATAACACAACAAATATGAAGATTTTGCTCTTCAAAGCCCAGCTGAGCACACACCTGGGGATTTCAGCTGCAGAGGTTCAAAGCATGAAAGCAGCCTCCATTCCTCTGCTGTATCTTGTCCTGAGAGATCAGAGTGGTAGCAGCCCAAAGCTTTTGGGGTGAATAGGGAAGATGGGGATGGCTGTTTACCTTTACATACGGAGTATGGGGATGGCAGCCTTTACAGCTGCTGCCACCTTTCCAGACCACTAAGCAGCAGGGCAGCATCTTTGTTTTTTTTCCTGCAAAAGGATGATATTTCTCTGTCCTTCTTTAGTCAGTATCCACACCTCTGCCAACCTCTTGAGTTTGTGGACACCAGCTGGCACTACAGAAATGATGCCTTTATAGGGCAGCAATGACAGCTGGAATGGTTTTAGTAGGGTTTCTGTGCAATGGGAGGCCCCATGGCTAATGACAGCTGAGCACTAAGAGTGTCTCACTACTTTGGGAATTATTTTTGCAATCTGTCTACAGATTCAGGAAGTCATCAGGGTCTGATGCTGTTTCCTCATGCTTTAATCCACTGACCTGTCATTGGGGTGTCCTGGGTTCAACTTCAGGTTAAGGTTGCAACCCAGATACGTGCTGCATCATTTAGTGTACTGTGAGAGAGGCTGCCTTACCTCTGATACACAATTTTGGAAGGAAAGTTCTTTACTAGTGTTGGGTGCTAGAGTAATTTGTCAACGGATTATACTTTGTTAGTAGGGCTGGGTCTGTCCAGTTGTTAAAAAAAAAACAAAATAGATGATATCATCACATAACTCCATCACTGAGAGCTGCATTCTAGTGTTTCACACTAGGATGTTCCCCTGAGTGATAGGTTACAGCTTGCAGAAGAGGAGTGGGCTTGAGGAGGAATGGGTGCTTGCAGATCTCACAGTGTGAACCTAGGCTGCATTTGCTATGAGCAGCCCTTATTTGCTTTAAAATTTCTGATCCAAGTAATTTACACTGCCTATAACTAGAGGTGGCCCTGGCATGTTTTTGTTTATCTGGTCTGAAAGATAGAAATGAAATTTTTTCCATCTGATGTCCCTGTCAATAGCCCCTAGTGGAGGCAAGCCCCGCAGGCTTTTATAGCTCTTCCAGTGTTGCCAGTGATGGAGAACCTGGAACCAAAACATAGCTAGCTATTTGCAGGACATAAAAAGAGGCAGAAATAATTTATCTCTGTCATGAACTCATGGAGAGCTAAGAGGTATCTAATTTGTGTTTTCTATTCTGTTTTGATGGGTTTTCATGCTGTGGCTGTCATCCTAACTGAGTGCTGTTGGTAGTGCATAAAGTGTCCTAAGTAGCTGTTTGCCCTGCCGCAGAGGAAACCTCTCCTGATGGCCACAGGCAGATCAGAGCCACCTTCGTTTGCGCTAAAACACTGGGGCTGGAGTTGGAGGGTGCTGTGGCTCTGAGTCTCTCCCATCCTCTGCCTTCACTGAAAACACAACTTCCTTCCCTTGCCTTTCTGGCTGGCTGGCTGTGAGCCAGGCTGAGCCTGAAAGTAGTCCAGCCATGGTGGTGCAGTTCTGCTTTGCTAGGCCAAACATGTAGGCTAATACACTGCATTCTTCTTTATTATTGTTACATTACTTTTGTAGTAGAGGTATAATTTGCTCTTCATTATTCTCTGGTCTCATTATCTGGTGTTACTCCCTTACTGCTTACTCGGGGCTAATTCTCTGTTCTGCTTAATAATGGAGCCTTTCAAAAGAAGAAACTGTCTCAGATGTGCCTGCCCCTTCTCTTCTTTTTCAGAGACTGTCCCTCAGCCAGTCCTCAGTGGTGAATGTATGAATAAAACCATATCTGTTACGTGTGAAGTGAAGCAGAAGACTAAAGAGGAAACATTTATAATAGAACTGATCCAAGATAAAAGCAAAAAAATCCGAAAGAATGCAACAAGGTTGGAATTGCACACACGGTATTCTGGGACATTCAGATGTGTTGTTAAGAATCAAGTCAGCGAAAAAATGACTGAAAAAGTAATTAAGTGCTCAGGTAAAAAAAAAAAAAACCCAAACATTTTTGCCTGAATCTGCTAGGGCAGACCTACAAATCCTGACACAGTTGCATGTATCTGTAGGACTGGTCCAGGTGCCAGGAACATCCATGGTTCCCAGTACCCAATGTTGTGAGTCTAACGCCGGTTCAGTTCTTGGAAATTGGCATGGAAGTCATGCTTTCTGCTTGGCATTTCCCAGCCTTGCCACCCTCCCTTCCCAGCTGCTGCCTGCCCCACTGCTACCCTTATGGCATCCCTGCTTTTGCAGCAGGTGGGCCAAGTGGACTGTGAGGTGGGGTGTGCTTCTCTTCTCCTGCAGCCAGTTGTGTTTTTCACCATGCTCAGTGAGGCCTGGGGGGTCACTGGAAAAGGAGGAAAGTTTTTCTAGAGTCAAGAGCCTTGTGGGTTAGCAAAGAGGCCCTTGGGATGCACTGCAATGCTGGGGGGGGGGTGATGTGTAATTGGGGACACTGCAGGCTGCCAGTGAGATCAGACTGTCTGAGGGTGAATGAATGAGAGAGATTCTTCTTCATACTGTCACTTTCTCCCTCATCTCCATTCACCACTGACTCTTATTCCAAAAGCTGACAGAGCTATCCTGACATTTTTTGGTGTTAGCATCCTGATGGTCTCAAGTGGTGTCAGCCACCAGTAGTGGTAGACCAATGAAGTAAAGAAGAAAGTGGGGAAGTGGATCTGAAAGTGTTTTAATCACACACAGTAGTCCACAAAAGCATTTTCCCTCTCATTTTTATCCTCTTTTATTCATTTAAAACAAATGGTACTTCACAAAGGTTAACTTCAGTCATCCAGTCCAAAGCCAAACAGTGGACTTCAGTAAGATAGTATAAAACTATCCAAGTTATCATGACATTAATTAACCGCTTATTTTTGGAAAATATGGTTTGGGATATTCTCATATGTATATGAAGCCATGGTATTTATTTGGGGGAATTTGCTCTTGATTTACATCCTCATGTTGGAGAAATCAGTCACATATTATTTTTCTCCTCTCCTTATGAAGGTGATGGCTTCCCACTACCTGTCGATGTAGATGGGTGCTCTCATAAGGGGAAAAGATATCTGCTTGGACTCCCCAGCTTGGCCTAGAAATCAGGAGAGGGGTTATAGAGAATTTAGCTGACCTTTGGGGTTGCATGGCTTAAACAAAGATGGCTCAAATGTACTATGGATTTTCGTACTTGCTTGTAAGTGTCCTCTTTCTAAATCACAGAGGCATCAAGAGAACAGAAGGAATTGCTTCTTAAGTGGTCAGATTAATGCTTAAATTATTAGATAGGCAAAAAAAATCATTGTTCCCCCTTGTGACATTTTTTGAAGTTAATGCAAAAACAAGGGACAGACCATACTGGTATGACATTGGACATAGTGTTCAGTTCAAAGTTTGGATTTCCAGTGCAGTACTAGGGAAAAGTTCTTAAATTTACTGGGCTTGGATTCACCCTGTTTAACTGTGAGTACTTCACTTAAAGCACTGTCTTGGTCTAGATTCCTTCTAGAATTACTGGGGAGTGGGGCACTCACTAGAGCTGGCTCAGTAGTTCGAATTTCCAGCTATCTCTGCCGTAGTGAATTTAGGGCAAGTCCAAGCCGGAAGGCCAGCCCACAGTATGAGAAGGGAGGGAGCAAGCCTTAAGATATAGAGGGCTTATTAAAGAGATCCAAGATCTGCTGAGGCTGACTGAAGGGCAAAAAACTGAGGGGTGGGGTGGCCCTTGCTCCCCTGTGCAGCTCTTGCCTCCCGAAGGATCCCTCCAAAGCCTAAAATAGCCAAAAAAGTGTTGCTTTCTGCTGCATGAGTGCCTGACCTGATGGGCTGCACAGTTCTTATGGTGCCAGAGTTGCAGCTGGGGTGCAAGAGAATGGGATGTGGCATGGACTTTAGAACCAAGTGTGAAAATGTGCTGCTGGTTAGGTCCATTTAGGGCTGGGCAAACTAGCCCAAACATGTTGTCTTAAAGGGAAAACTCTGGCTGAAGCTGCGCACACCATGGCATGAGCCAGGCAAGCACGGGCTGGTCTGCATTGCTGGTATAGGCAGTCACTGCCCATCAGCTAGATACTTTGATCTCACTGCTTCTCACTCTTTGACCTACCCTTGGAGACGAGTACCACGTCTCGTCTGAAGCCCCTCTATTTGGAGTGGCAGATTGTCGCAACCTGACAAATGGGTGATTTTTTTTTTCATCGGTTCGCGACACTGATCTTCAAGGTACAAGTATAGCATTTCTCAGACACCAAGAAACTACTAAACCCATGTAACACTACCCTTTGTGCTCAAACTGAAAACCCTTCAAAGTTTTCTGTGTGGTCGCAGGACTCTGCCAGCTCCATAATAGTTTAAAAATCCCTCAGCTTGCAGTCAAACCTCCTTCCAGCCCTGTTGTCCTTTATGAACATCTGGTCCTGTGTTTCAGGCCTGTCACCATGAATTTGGATCTTTAGCAGGCAAGGTATGCTTCAGATGGGCTTCAGTTCAGCTCACTTTTGAATCTGCCTGGGCCCACCTTACAGTCAGCTGGGAGAAACAGGCACAGAAAGGGCAAAACACACCTCAGTGTAACACTGGCGGGTGAGAAGATCCACATCACTGAGGGTACTTGTCTGTTTTTCAACTAGGACAGCCCTGGTTGATAGTGGCATTTATGCTGTAGACATGTCAGGTTTTGTGTCATCAGCCTTTGCCCTCAGTGTGTAAACCCAGTAAATGTTAAGGGTGTTACCAGGGGTGTTCCTTTGGAGCTTTGTCCCTCAGGAAGCCAAGTAAGGTGCACTTCTGTATGATGGTGCCCATGCTTGAGCATGAACATTGAATGCCAGGAAGACACCTTGAACAGGAAGTTGTGAAGGCAGGCCAGCATCCAGCAAACCTTACCTAGCAAAAATAAGGAATGCTCAAATAAATTTTTGCTCACCAGGAAAACTAAAATCTCATTTTGAGATAGTGGGATATTTGGTTATGTTCTTTTACTTTTCACTATTTTTTAAATTTGTATACAGTCAAAAACTGAAGAGGAAGTACCAAAATACTACGAAGCAAACTAGTCTTGGTGCTTCCAGCTCTGTAGGAAGTACTTATAAAGTTTAGTTTTGTTAGATGCTGAGCACTGCCTGGATGCTAAAAGGGTCCACTGCTAGCAGGGAAAGGGCATTTGTGGTAATTGGAATAAGATGAGCTGGCACACATGAATGCTCTGTTTTCAGTTTTCTGCAGAACTTGAATCTATGAGGGAGCAACCAAAATTCTTTACAATGAGTACCAGCAACTTTCTGCTGTGTACAGAGAAAAGGAAAAGGATGTGCTCCCTCACTGGCATTGCCTTTATGGTCAATGGGATAAAATACAGAACTCTAAGTAGACGTTCTTTCTTTCCCTCTAACATCCTCTTTTGTTCCCTTAACTAGGCCAGCTGGATCTTTATCTCATCTTAAGCATAGCAGGAGGTGCAGTCTTCTTAGTCATCTCTGTGATTTTGCTTATTTATTGTATCAGGAAGAAGAAAGCAGAAAGGCTTGAAGATAATGGTGAGTGTTTAAGGAGCTTTATGTTGCTATCTAACATCCTAATAGCTTAGAGCTTCCAGCTGGCAGCACCCCTGTGGGCAGCAGCATGCTCTCTGACTTGGCATGAACAATGACATGGCTTCGGCATCTGGTGAGTCTCAGCAGATGAGCTGCCATTGCCAGTCTCAGGTTCTGATATATACTTTGAAGAAAACAATTCTAGTTTTCAAACTTTTTTGTTTATTCATGGGTGAAGAAATGCTCCTCTAAAGCTTGGACAAGGCCACCAGTCATAAAATACATAATCTGTCTGCAGATTTTTTTCATTAAACTTATGTGTGTAAAATTATGACCCTTGAAGTCACATTTGGAAACACTGAAGATAGTGAGAAGGGGCAAGAAGGGCTCAGGCATCTTATAGAACTTGTCCTTGAAACAAAAGAATGTCCTTGGAGGCCTACCAACACAGGAGGTCCAACTTGGGCATTTTAAATAGTTGAGGTTTTTGGAACGGACAGAGATTTCATCTGTTGTCTGAATTCATGCCTCCTTAAGACCATAGGAAACACTCTGCTAGAGTCTTCTCTGAGAGTGGCTCTCGGTCTGACAGAGAGGCTGCCTGGAATTACAGCCTGGGCATAGCTGCTTGTTTGAGTGGCCAAAGGACACTGAGCTGCCACTCAAGAAGCATTGTTTTATTCACCTGGAAGGGGAGGTTAAATCAGGAGGGAAGTCACCTTAGCAGGGCTTGTTTAAAGGCTTGTTTCTGAGTCCTGCCCACCTCCCCACCACCTCCCCTGCCTCGACTGTGTCAGGCTTCCTGTGTGGTCTCACATAAAACAGCTAGTCTGTGTGTGAGTCAGTTCTTGAGTTACAAAATGGGTGTAGAAGCTCCTTTGTACACCACAACAGTCTTTGTCAAGACAAAGGGGGCCATGCCTGAAGGAAACCTACTTCAAAAGTGCCAGTAGTCAGGCTGACAACAAGTGTGAAGGTGACCAATCCCATGGCTGAGGGGGATGCAACCTCAGTGCACCTGAATGTGGACAACTCACCATGGCTCTCCTGCTTCCCCTGAGGATATGATGATGAAGAACAGGCAAGTGCTTTCCCCATTCCTTGGAAGAGCTAACCACAAGATGTCACCTCAGAAGGCTTGCCATAGCTCATGAGCACAACACTGGTATGAACACAGACATCTGAGAGTTACTTTACGTTATGGCTGTTCATGTTTGAGTGGGACATGACACTCCCTCAGGTGTGCAGTAGTGGCATATATGCAATTGGTCTGGATTGAGCAAGAATTAAGAAAAAGAGAAGTCTGGAAACATGGGAACTAATCTAAGAGGACGACTCTTTGAAACAGTTTGGTGTGTGTTTAAGGCCATTTCAGAGTCTCAGGAGGTAAATCCGTGAAATGCTGGGGTTTGATCCTCAAGCCCCCGAATTAAGGTTGACATATGGGTGATTCCCACAGCCCTTCATAAAGAGGTGGTGAGTTTGCCTTATAGCTTCCCCCCAGGGTGCGGCCGGCCCTGCAGGGAGAGCCGTAAGGGAAATGAGCCCCAGGGGTCCCGCATGGAGTGAACAAAGGTCAGGTGGTCACTTAGGGATAAAAGCTGGGACCACTTGCAGGAAGGGAGGAGTGTCTGTCTGTGAGTGGAGCACTTCACAGAGCTTCCTGGTTAGGGAAGGACCTCCTGACTCTCCCTGGAACTGGGCCTCGGTCAGGTTAGACCTGTGCAAACGCAGGCTAGGGGAGAGAAATATGTGGCTGCCTTTGTCTGATATGATTAACTTGTTGACTTGGTTGTCTCCCATTACATCTGTGGGAGACTTCGGTTCTTTATTTGTTCCACCTATTGTCTGTCGTGCGGTATCGTTGGGGGTGATGTCAATTGCTTGTTAACTAATTGGCTTATGTGTAACCCTGGCAATCATCCATGTAGTGACCTTTCTATATTCAAAACAGTGGAGTTACTGGTTTGTCTTCCGGCTGGCTGTGTCATTTATGCTAGGTCTACTAATTGACAAAACAATCCCTCAGTCCTTAAGAGAAGCTGACCAATATTTCGGAAGTGATGACTCTGATCAAAAGTCATCTGGTGTAAATTTACTTCTTCTACAT